CTCGTACGAGTTGGGAAGACGGAACCGCTTCAAGAATATGAGGCCGCTCTCAACGTTCAGCACCTACTTGGTGATGGTGGCAAGGATTGGTTCCACCATATAGAACGGTAGGTCGCCTCTTGGCCTGCTATGTGACTGAATTAATTGCTGATTTCAATCCAACATCAAGAGTTGCGTCAAGTACCGTTTTGACAGCAGCGTTCGGCATGCACTGTCCGACCGGTCGTGAGCTAGAGCTGAAGACATTTCTTGACGTGAGTGTCAAGTAATCTAAGTTGTCGTGGTGTGTACTTATCAGTATTGCTCAGGTTCTTGCCGAAGCAATTCACCTCGTCACTCCAAATGCCAGTATCATTAATAAATTCCCCTTCGTGGACTTGATCCCTGGACCAATGCCATGGCGCGCCCGCGCACAGTCGTTCCGGAAGCGTCTCGACATATTGTATGAGAAACTGCTTGATGATGCTCTCACCGGCAAGGCGTCCGGCATGAACACGTACGCTGTCAGCCGTAAAGAATGAAACATTTATGAATGGTTTGTCTTCCAGCTGGGCTTCTTTCTTCGCAAGAGAAGACAAGCCCGAAGGAGACCAACGCCGTCTGATGAGACAATTCGCCTCGGTGAGCAATTTTCATGACTTGGATAGACACGATAATCAACCTAGTTTCTCAGGCAGCCATTGGAACGGTAACAGCTCTATATAGATCCTTGAATTTCCTGCTCAGCCTTTGTAGGCTACAGCTTCCCTACACACCTTTGTGCTTGCTTGTATTCGCTATCCCGACTGGATTGCAATTGCTCAAAGAGAAATTGATTATGTTGTAGGAACCGATCGCTTGCCGACCTTCAAGGACCGTCCTCTCCTTCCCTACGTTGAAGCCATTGTTCGTGGTACGCTTCTTCTTATGAAGCTTTCGTTCTTCAGATAACTCACGGCAGGGTCTCTTACTAGAGACTCTTCGATGGCGCCCTGCAGGCATGCTTAATGTTCGGTTATACACCGAAGCTGACCTCAAAAATTAGTTCGCGCTGGCGCACCTCACCAGTCCACTGCTGACGATGTAATTGAACATCAGGGTGAGCAGTACTTTATTCCAAAGGGTAGCATCATATTCGCTGTTACATGGTGAGTGAACCCATCTAATTACAGCTAAACTTTCGCACCCTTCTCAATAGGGCAATTGAGCATGATCAGTCGAAGTTTGAGGATCACGAACGCTTCATGCCTGAACGGTTCCTTGACTCGGAAGGAAATCTAAAGCCAAATTACGAGACGAGTGTCTATGGTTTTGGTCGACGATGTTGGTACTTTTTCAGTTTCAGTTTCTCTTATATTCACCAAGACTCAATTATTGATTTGGTCTGGTAGTATGCCCCGGCATTCCATTCGGAGAGCGTTTGTTATGGATAAATATCGTCACCATGCTCTGGACTTTCAATATCCGTGCTTCTGATGAAATTGACCCAAAGACTGCTTTGCCGTTTCAGTACGACGATAGTAATGCGGCATTCAACGGAGATGTTCGTGATGATTTTCTCTCTGGTATTCATACTGATCCTTGCGCAGCTTGCAAAGTCGCCCCTCAAGTTTCCAGCTGTATTTGAACCTCGTTCTTCATTGCGAGCGGAGGTGGCCATGAGGGAATGGATCGAGTGTGAAAAGGACTTGAATGTCTTGATGCCTGTCATGAAGGACAGTTAAATCAGGGAATATCAACATAGTTAGGTCGTTCATCAGAATTACTTATGTTGTTGTATTCCTAAAGTACCGGCCATAACCGGCGGCTCGCGTCAATATGATTTGCATTCAAATAAGGTCTCCAATTTCAGTATCTTCTTCATTACTGTCACTTTTTCTATCTTCCGAACAAGCTGCAGCTGCACCATCACAGTCATATTTTACCCAGAGAGGCTCAGAGTGTGTGGGGGGTCCCGAGGCCTCCGTGTGATCTGTGTCTGCAAGCAAAATGACATCCTGTGCATTGAATGAAGACATGGTTGCCTGAGTGGTTTCTGACTTGTATGCGGATAATGTGAATGTGATGGCAACAGCGGAAAAGTCAGCTAGAGGCTTTTTGTTTCTGTTGATGATTGGTAAGCTCTGGTATCACTCCATCTCGAAAGGTTTCCATACATCATAGACAATGACTGCAATTCAATCTAAGTATCATTCATGCCAGCAGATGATAAGAACCCTTTCTCTTACTTATGTAAGAGAGTCAGGACCCAGCCTCACTTTGTTCAGTTAAGTATTTGATATGTTAACTCAATGCTGAGATCCAGACCTGTTGAGCCTATAGGCTTACTAGTCCTCACTTCTGGTTATCATGTGTTGTCAATTTTTTTTCTCACACCCATTGGGGCAATGCCCTATGTTGGGGTCAGCTTTCTAGGTACATCTAGTATGTAACTCTTCTATTGTGTTGTGTCTTCTGTATCTGTAAGTACTTGCACCCTGAATTGGACTCATATCTGTATGATGCCTCTTTGGCAATTTCTGTGCATAAGGTATGATAAAGTAGAGCAGAAGGGAAAAAAATGTTTTCCCCTCTGGCTCATTCCTGGCTTTTTGTCTGTCTCTGTTGTAATGGTTATGTCTCCATAGGATCTCTCAAACCATTTTGTTGCATGGATGTACTTGAACAAGGACTCTATTGCATTGGGGTTGCTGAGCAGGATACTGAGGGCTTTTGGCATGTGGCAGATCGCACCCCAAGCCTGTGTCCCTCATGCATGGGGCAATCTAGCAAGTAATGGTGGACTGTCTCTGGTGCTTCTCTGCATGCTGGACATAGGGGGGATTTGGCTTTTTGGACTCTGCATAGGTTTATAGCTTGTCAGAGTTTACTCTCCAGCTTCAGTTGCTCTCTGTTCACAATTGCACTGAGGCTGGGAGTAATTTTTCCTCCTCACATCTTGAGACCTATTTGACTTACACATACATATTCAGCACTATGTTCTGTCATGTCACTTAGGTACAACAAACAAAGTTGCTCTCTGTTCATGACTGCACTGAGACTCACTACAATCTGTTGTGTCACTGAGGTCCAGGATCATCAGGTTATGGGTGCTCTTGAGATGCAATTTGGCCTAGGATGAGCAACTCAACACAAGTGATCAATTGATTAGTGACTGTTTCCACTACTATTGAACTCAATGATTGACCAGGGTGGTTCATCCTTGCAGAACAATCAGAACTCATGGACTATTCCCATGCAAACTGTAAGCTCCTTGCATCATACTTTAGATTGACTAGGCTAATTGCTGAATGCCCCAACTTTGCAGTGGATTCATCAATCTTTTCTCTTTTATTCTTGAGATTCCTCATCTATATTAGTTTCCCCTACTACATATTTTTCCCAGCAGAATCCCTCAAACCCATTCACAACACTCATTTCCCCAATAGTTTTCATGCTGCAGTTCCTCAATATCCTATTCATATCCCTTCTGTTCCTTCTTCTTCTTCTTCCACACATTGTGAACTAACTTTTTGTGCAAATTCTCTCTGCCCAAACATCTTTATTGCTCTTCTTCTTGTACTTCAATTCATTCACCCTTATTTGCTTGTAATATTCTTCTTCCTCTCAACCCACATCCATTTCCTCAGCTTACTCTTAGCATGCACCTCTCTTCTTGTAAGGGCAACCTCTGGAGGCTGTGGCTCAGTCACACAATTGGCAGAGGGAGATCCAAAGTCTATTTAGCATCTACAAGAAATTCTAGAGTTCTATCTACTCACCTGGCAGAGGGAGATCCAAAGAGAACAAGTCTAAGGATCACCAATTGTAGCATGAGTGTGACATCACCTCTGTCTAAACCTTACAATTTTCTACCCTAATTGTCCCATACTTATTCCCATTATATTCTGTACTATTTAATAGCAGCATCTTGCAATTGAGAGGACTTGCACCAGTTCTATTGCAAGACTACTACTGTGTGACTGTACTCTGCTATTTCTAGCAGTCAACTGTTACATCTATTGAACTTCTAACAGTCCTTAAAAACCCTCTCAACTCCCCTACTATGGGTTCACTTAGTCTGATCAACCACAAATATCCTAGTAGTAAGTTGTAAAAAATTTGCATGTCAACTAACACAGAATCTAGTTGTTACAACCTCCAACTGAGACCTTTTGTTGTGGGTATGGGGTGGGGCACTACAAGTGCATGTGTCAGACATTGTAGCTTTGTATTGTATGCTACATGTCCAGCAGAGTCCTCTGCATTGTAGTGGAAGTTAACAATGTTATGTCTGCAATGATGCCATTGCAATGTTACAATGTGTCATCATAAACACTCTGTGGACATCTTTGACTGCCCTCTTGGTTTGTGGGAGTCATACATTGTCTTGTTAATGGTATCAGTGGATGTGCACTGTCTGCCTTCCATTGCTAATTCATGTCTATTGCAAAAAGCAGTTCTGTTAGCCAGTGTGCCACCATATAACTCTTTCTGTTGTCTCCACTTTCCATGGCTATATGACATCCATTGCACAAAGTGGTTCTGTTAGCCAGTGTGTGCTGTCATATCTCTTTAGGCCCCTCTGTTGTTGAATTTTTTGTCTGTTGCCAGATCATGTCACAAAAGCATATCTGTTACAGAAGTGTTTCCATTCAAAGCTTTTGGTTTGTCTGTAGAGATAATTGTTGAAATCTGTCAAAGTGTCAAGCATGGGAGGCTATCAGAGAAGCATTTTTGTAGGGGCAAGAAGCTGTCACAGAAGTGTTCATCCATTGCAAGCCCAGTGGAAATGACCATGCCAATGATTTGGGCACTCTGCAGATGATTGGTGAAAATATCATTTTTGGGACTGTATCATAGCTTAGTGGTTCAAAGTGCCATAAGGTTATGCTTCTCTTTGTCAGGATGAGGATTCAACTCCTTGATCTGACAATTGTCTACTAATGTCTTTCATTTTATTTATTGCACTTTTTCTCCTATGCTCTAACTGATGTTTAGGCTCACTCTGAAGCAAAATACTCTCATGGTTTGGGTATTCAGGCTGGCTGGTTTAATGGGTTAGAATGTTAGAGCTCTGCCAATGTCTGCAGTCTCATATGCTCAGGTTGAGGGTTTGAATCCCTTGCTTGACATTTGTTGTCTATAATTTGTTTTTAATTGTCCACTCTTTGCTACAAGATATGCTTGTAGCTGGCTTGTCTTTCCAAAGCACTATGCTTCAGTGGTTTGAATTCTTTGCTTGATGTTCTGTAGTCAACAAAATGTTTTTTAGTCATCATTTCAATTGACAATTGTTTGTTCCAGCAAATACCTATAATGATGTGCTATTGTGAGCCACCATGGATCAGTGGTTTGGATTGTTGGTTAAGCCACACTCCAACTGTCAAGACTAGGGTTCAAACCCCCCCTTGACCTGGCAATTTGCAATGAGTTTTTTTCTGTTTGATTTCCACTATTCCACATAACATTTGAAGGTTTTAAATATTTTGTAGCTTCAATTGTTTTGTAGATTCCTGTGGGTGCAACACTTTTCCCTGGTAGTCCAGTGTATACCTATTTCCACTGCCAGAGGCCCTCCAGCAGTGGGTGCCAGTGGTCTGGTGTATATCTATTTCCATTGCCAGAGGCCTTCTGGCAGCAACCACCAGTAGTCCAGTGTATACCTATTTCTGCTGCTGCACCCATTATCCCTGGCACCACAGTGTAATCTCATTTCTCCTATCAGCACTGTGGCTGCAGCATCTTTTTTGCATCTTTTCTCTTCATATTTTCAGGGATTCTATTTACATCAATGGGGTCCATCCTCCAAGTTCTGATTCCAAATCCAAGAAAAAACCAGTGTCACTTATATACTCAAAGTCAAGTGGTGTATATGGATCCTCTGGAAGGGTTCCTACAACACTTGATGTGGTGCCTGAAGAAGTTGAAGTTTCTAAGAGAACATCAGAAATGTCAGCAAAGTTGGCTGGGGTGAAAGGGCCAATGGGCCTACATCCACCATGATCTCTTGCTTGCTGGAAAGCTTGTTCTGTCAGAAACAATTAGGTCTGCCAGGTAAATGATGCAGATTGACTCATGTTTCTGGTACAGCATCTCAATGTGTCTCTTGTCCTCACATGGTGTTACTCTTTCATCATATCTTTTCCACTCCTCCACATCATTTCCCTGAGGAATAGGGGGAGTACCAGATGAACTTTCATCATGTGGTGGAGTCAAGCAGGCCAGTCTATGTTCAGTGTCTATTGCAAAGTTGCTGTCCAACAGATGTGAATTGTGATCTGGAATGAATAGAGATGGTGCAGAATCACTATCCATTGCAGGATTTGGTGATATTCCTGGTGGAATGATGAGTGGGGGGATCTCTCCAGCAGGTTGGTCTGCTATGCAAATGTATGTTATATTTGCTAGTACATTATCTGCAGATCTGGCAATTGAAGTTCTGTTGTCAGATCCAGCATCCAATGCAATGAAAAAGGAATCTTGGACTCCAACATCTCTAACCCCAGTGCCAGCACCTCCAGAGCAACCCAAAGCCCCTCAATCTCTGATAGCAACTCAGAAGGCAGAGAACATGCAACCCCACCTCAGTCACCCTGAATCAATTCACAATGGCTGCCTCCTAACATACCTCAGAATTGATACAAAGGTTCATGGTACCCTGACCAGCAATGCTTGACCCCCCTGACCAACTGTGCCACCACTCTGAACTTGACCACTGCCACCCAATTACCTGCTCCCATCAACTCTGGAAACCTTGATATTAAGATTGTCAGCACCATTCCCTTCACATGCATCTTACAAGATGGCACCCCCACCTTCCAGTTATAATTCATAGCAGCTCTACTAGAGGAGCACCTCTGTGCAGAAACTACCATGCTGGAGAGCAAAATGGAGGAACAAATGCTATACAAAGTAGTTCCCCCAGAGTATCATGAATTCACTGATGTATTCTCTGAAGGGAGCACCAAAGAACTTTCCCTGCACCATTCCTATGACCACAAGATCGATCTCAAAGAAGGCACCTCACTCCCATTTGGCAAGATCTATAACATGTCCAAGATTGAGCTCCAGGCCCTGAAGGAGTACCTCAACAACATGCTTAGCAAAGGCTTCATACACCCATTGATCTCCACTGCCAGTGCTCCAGTCTTGTTTGCCAAGAAGAAGGATGGATCACTCTAACTCTGTGTAGATTATTGGGAATACAACAAAGTCACCAAAAAGAATTGGTATCCCCTCTCCCTGATTGGAGACCTCATTGACTGCCTCTACAGTGCCAAGATCTACACAAAGATAGACCTCCACTCTGGCTACAACAATGTCCAGATTGCTCTGGGACATGAATGGAAGACAGCCTTTCACACCCACTACGGCCTCTTTGAGTACTTTGTAATGCCCTTCAGAATGACTAACTCCTCTGCCACATTCCAGTACTTCATGAACAACATCTTCCACAACATGAATGACATTTTTGTTATTGTGTACCTGGATGACATACTAATTTACTTGAATTTGCTGGTGGAACATCTGAAGCACATGTGCTATGTCCTAGAACAACTCTGGGAGTACCACCTCCACACTAAACCCAAAAAATGCTCTTTCCATATGATGAAGGTCAAATATCTTGGAGTCATCATCACTTCCACTGGCATGCACATGGACCCCACCAAGGTCAATGCAATACTCAACTGGCCCCTGCTGTGGAATGTCAAGGAAGTACAGTCATTTCTGGGGTTTGCTAACTTTTACTGCTGCTTCATCGACAACTACTCCAGAATCACCAAACCCCTCAACTAACTCACATGGAAGGACACCCCTTGGGGTTGGGACAGCAAGTGCCACAGTGTATTCCTCCTCTTGAAGAAGGCCTTCACCTCTGCTCTGGTCCTCCACCATTTTGACCCCTCCCTGCTGATTATGCTCAAATGTGACACTTCCAACTATGCCATCGCTGGAATACTCTCCCAGTTCAACTTCAGAGGCCAAGATCTCTGCCCTGTTGCCTTCTACACCTGTTTGATGATCTCTGTGGAGCTCAACTATGACATCTATAACAAAGAACTCCTCACAATCGTCAAAGCCTTCCACCAGTGGCAGGCTTACCTTGAGGGATCCCCACACTGCATCCAAGTCTACTCCAACCATAACAACCTGCAATACTTCACAACCACAAAGCAACTCAGCCACTGCCAAGCTTGATGGTCTGAAACCCTCTTGGAGTACAAGTTCACCATCCACTACCACCCCAGACAACTCAGCACAAAGCCTGACACCCTCACTTGGAGGTCCAACTTATATCCAAAAAAGTCCTTTGAAGCTGAATGGAATGCATTCAACCATCAAGTGGTAATCCCTCCCAAACATCTACATGCTGTGCTGATTTTAAATGAAGAAGGAATCCTCCATCAAATCAGAAACTTGCCCCCAGACCCTTTCTTCACCCAGCACAACCCCCACAACAATTCTGCTGATGAGTCAAATGCCAAAAACCCCTTCACACTGTCTCTGAACCACTGCATCCTGCTCTAGAGTGGACGAATTTATGCTCCACACCACAAGTCCATCTGCCTCAACATACTCCAGCAACACCATGACCACAAGCTCTGGGAAAACCCAGGAATTTGTAAGACCCTTCAGCTCATTCCCTGGACTTACTTTTGGCCAGGAATGAAGAAGGATGTCATGCAATACATAAGGGCCTGCATACCTTGCCACTGCCCTCACAGATTATTGAAGCCCCTCTCCATTGGCCAGTGCCCCTGGTCCTCAATATCAATGGATCATATTGTTGAACTTTCTGACTCCAAAGGTTTCAATGCAATCCTTGTCGTTGTCTGCTGCCTCACTAAACAAGCCCTCTTCATCCCCTGTCACACCACTGACAATGTTCTGGAGTTTGCCAAACTATTCCTCCAGCATGTATTTTCCAAGCATGAACTCCCAGATGACATTGTCTCTGACCATGGACCTCTGTTCATATCCCACTTCTAGCAATCACTATGCAAGGCACTCAAAATCCAAACCAATCTCTCTACCACCTATCACCCAGAGACTGATAGATAGACAGAACAAATAAACCAGACATTAGAACAGTATCTCCACCTCTACATTAACTATTTACAGAACAACTAGCATGCAGAGCTCCCCTCTGCCAAGTTTACCAATAACAATATTGTCACAACCCATTCCCTAAACCCCCACACATTGTCCAATGACCCCCCACCCCCCCAGAACCTCCTCCAATGCCTCACCAAACTTCCACAGTGCTCCGTGCCTACTCTGGCTAACTCTGATGCATCTTCAGCTAACTCCAATGGCCCCCTGGCCAACTCTGACATCTTCCCTGCAGTCAGTGACACTTCCCCTGGATCTCCTGAGCCCCTAGGACCATTCCCCCACTATGCCTGACTCTGTTACATGTCATCAACTCAACACCCTGGTTCCTCCGACTTACTTTGAAGTATTACAATGACCTCAGAACAGCCTGCATCACCAATTGATCCTATCAACATATCAATGCGGCCCACTCTCCAATTATAACTGACACCTGTCAACTCTGTTGAGCTCTGCCAAGCCCCACTGCCACAGCCAATGTCCCCCAGAGCTTTCTAGTAGTCAGTATATAAGACATAGAGTAGCTCTTCATACTCTAGTCTTGATATTGCTTAACATTACCTATGGTCTGATTGTTTCTCTCTCATATTTTGTGTTCCGTGTCTTGTTTTCTTACTCTCAGTCTCCCAGTCTTGTCTTGTCTCTATTCCATTATCATTTTTGTTATTGTTTTGTATCTCTGCCTGAATCTATTCTTGTTCTCATCTCCATCTTGTCTCGACTCCATCTCATTTTGTTCGACTCCATCTTGTCTCGTTTGATCCGTCTCATCCATTGTGTTCCCATCTTTCTCGACCTTAACGCCTTTGTGAACCCTGCAATTACAATTACAAATCCCAGCCACTCTTTAACCAACTCCAGACCTCACTACCTGCTCAACTCTGAACTCTATCAACCTCTGTTGATCCCCCATCAAACTCCGGCTCCACTTCCATCACTTGCGTAGCCTCCACCTCCTCCACACCCACAATACTTGCATACGGACCCATGCCTGAACCCTGCCAAGCCCATCCCCCTT